ACAGATGGCCAGATGGAGGGATTGCCAGTTTCGAGCCAGGTGAGCTAAAAACCTTGTTTTGTAACATATGTGGGTTGGATTATTACCTGGCACAGAGGTATCACTAGATAACCATGGCAATACTGTTTTGACTACTTATCTGTTGTAATTGTAGCAGAGAGAAACCATCCATGTACAGGGCAACTAACTAAAGAATGCAAAATATTTCTTTTTTTTTTGAAAGATTTATTTTCTTAAATATGAATCTGAAACTTGACCCTGCTTTATATTACTGCGTCGTATCTAAGGAGAGGTTGTACAGCAGGATAAAACAGTCAGGATACCCTAACGCCATGGCCCCAGAGTGATAGCCAACGTAATGTCATCCTCTGAACCATGGAAGTAAGGCTCTTAACAAGGGAGGTAGGGCTCTACAGAGGAAGTTTGAAAAAGAAGGCTAAGGCTACAAACAATGGATGCAAGACTACAGGCAAGAAATTTAAGGTTCTAAACAAGGGAGGTAAGACTCTCAATAAGGGAGGCAAGGCTCATAAAAAGGGAAGAAGACTATAATCAAGGGCGAGAATTAAGTCTCTACACAAGGAAGGCAAGGATCTAAATAATGGAGGAAGGGTTCTTAAAAAGGGAGGTAAGGATCTTAGAAAGCCAAAACAAAGGAAGAGTTTCAATCAACAGGAATATTGAAAACCTTAATGCAAATTTCATTTTAAAAATTCTCATGAAATACTTGTGTTCAGACACCTGCAATAAGTAATTGTATGTATACAGCATTTGTTAAACCATCCACTAAATCTATGTCGTAATCTTTGAAAAGTTAAACATTGTAGCACTAAATATTATTGACACTGCGCAGTTTAATCCAGAAATGTAATTTTCTTTTAGATTTGTTTGAAAAGACAGCTGCGGCACCTGTCTCAAAAATGATATATTATACCATTTTGTTGGAACTGTCAGAGCAACACAATATTGTCTGATGTTTACAGCGTTTACTCTCGTCAGGAATTAGCATCCTTATACACTATAGACATCCCAGCCAACATATAAGGCTGGAGCCAGCTTATGTATATACAGACATCACACCGGTAATTACCCCTCACGATCAGTCACCATTAAATAAGTTACAAAACAGATGATAAAATTTTTCCTAAGCTTGGTACCAAAAATTTACTGCTATAGTGGGTATCTTGATTGACTCATTGGTCAGAATTATGCCTTAGACTGAATCCTAACAATCAACATCCTTCTCATTATTACAAGTCCTGTCTCTTTAGTCTCATCCATTAAAGAGAAATAGTTTACACCAGTTTTTCAAGATGGCTACCACGGTAGCCATCTTGAATGTTATACTGAATATAGACCTTGCAATATTTTATAGTGGTTTCTGGTATATTTTAGATTTTATCGCTATAGAATAATGAAAATGAACAAAATTGATGAATGTCAGATATGAGAGCCGATGGCATTAGCTTTTATCGTTTATTAGCTATCACCACACATGGGCTTATTATCAGATAAATTACATTTTATACTGATAGGTAGAACAGCAATAAAGTGAAAAGAACAAGTTAATTTGAATTTCAAATTACTAATTCACCACAAATTATCACAACGGTTTGAAGTTTTGAGTAGAGAATCACATAGTATTGCATGACCGACTCCAAACATCTAAGTGACTTTGACACTTCATTTGTTTTGTACCACAATGACATGCAATTGCCTCTTGTGCCTCTCTCTCAATTCAGAACCTGGTACATTTTATGTCCATGTTGAAATCAATGAATTCAATGCTGTTCTGATACACTGGCTTCATCTTAGTACACATTATCGACAAAGTGTTTATTCTAAAAAATCAAAACCAAAGCTGGATTACAATTGAGTGCTGACTAAGAAAGAATCTCTTTACATCTATCAGCTCAGGAAATGCTCCAATGTATCTAGAAATCAGGACATACTGTCACCTGAGATGCTGGGCTGTGTGCAGCAGTAGTAGTACATAACGACAACATTTCAGAACATCGAAAAATGTTTTGTAAATCCTGTTTGATACATAGAATTTCTCTACAATTAATGTAAACCAGCATTTCATCGTAGTGAATCGTTGATACTGTTGTAAGTTTCTAATACGAGAAAACTTATTTTTGTAACAGGAATGCAAAATGTTCAGCCAGACTGGGGTTCGAACCCGGGACCCTCCAAACTCCAAATTGAGCTAGGTACCTGTTCACCATTGACCAACCCAGTACGTTTCAATATGTAGATGATATCAGAATACATTCTCTGGGAAAAAAACTAATACAATTTGAGGCCAAGAATAATATTATTTTGTTTCTCATTCTACTAACTTCACAAAGCATGACTATTATCTTTACAGGATTAATATTAAAATCTGTATTATTAGATTTCTTAAACACCATTTATCAAGAAAATCAAATGCTCATGAAAAAAAACCTGTTCTGAAAACCATGAAATTTGAGTCCCATAAAAAATAGCTGACTTTACAGTTCAATTCCTTTATACAACATATATTTATAGAAAGCTTAAATCCTTCCTTTAAAATAATCATATAAAAACAACTAGATCAATTTTTTCAAATATTTGGGAAATACTGAGAAGAAACACATTTTTTCTGTATTTGAACTAACAAGCCTATATATATACATGTAACATCAGTCAATGACTGCTTGTTGATAATGACTACAAGAGGTGGACTCTTGATTCAGATGACCCCAATATGTTTTATCTGAAATGTTGCTGACCCAATTAGCGATACTGAAACAGGTGTTATAGACCTGGGAGATAGAGACATTGTGTATTACAGCACTTAAATATAATTCTTACTTTAGAAATGATATCACACGTGTATATTGTACTGTGTTAAAATGCCAGATAATCAATCTTAACCTCCACTTAGCCTTTCTAGCTTCTCAAAGGTCACTTGTTTGAACCCAAATGAGAAAAAGATTATCTTTGTCTTTCTGCACTGTATTATACATATAATGCTGATTTTCATTCATGCAAAGAGAAAGAAATATGCTGATCTAGATCTTGGTCCTGAACCAAACATATGCAACCTTGCTACTTAAAAAGATACACAAATGTAGTTGGAAACAAATTCCACAAACTTAACATATTTAACAGATGCACAGACAACACTGGTAACAGCAGGGTTTTTTTCACTAGTCTGGGATCACTGGATGAGGAATTTTTGCTTCGTTTTGGGAAGAAATTTGTTGAATTTTGAAGAAAACTTTTAGTAGATAGCAATTTTTGGGAATTTTTTCTCAATAGAAAATACTTTCAAATTGGGAATGGGTCTCCATAATAGGCAACAAAAGGCCTTGATCTGGCAGTAGTTCCTTATCACCAGGTGTATGTCAGATGCTAACACAAACCTGGTACTGATAGCCATGATATTCATTACCGTTAGTGTTTTGTTTTGTGAGTAGAATTTCAACTGTGGGTGCCCAAGATTTCAAGCAAAATTTTAACCTGTCACTTGAAATAAATATGTATTCTAAACTTTGAGAAATGCAACTCTTCTAAAACAATCTGGGTGGGGGAGGTGGGGGTATAAACATGAAGAAAGATATAAAATCATGATACTATTTGTTTGTTAAAAAACAGGGCAAATAAAATACACATTCCTGTCCTGTGCCTCAGCTAGGAATCGAACTCACATCTCCAACGTTATAGTCAACCAGCTCTACTAACTGAGCCAAAGAAGCATGCGCTGTCAGCTGAGTAGGACCATATTTAACATTAAGTCACCTATATACAATTCACACCAATCCACTCCATTTTTTTGCCAAGTTTATTGGCCCATGAACAACCAGGATCTTTGAGGCATGGTTTCCAGTTAGTAACTTGTGATTACCTCACTGAACAGAATATGGGAGGTCTGTCGCATGTCATCCACAGAAAAAAGGGTAAAGTGTCATGTTCAAAAACACAACCATGGTATCACAGACCAGACTTTTTACATTTATGCATACTTTTGGCTAGGTGAATTTCTCAACATTTAAAATTTAGTTTTAAAGTGACAGAGCCCAATAATCAATATTTGTCTTCTTAACATTTTATCAGTAGTTTTGGTCCCCTCCAAGATTGTCTTGATTTTTTCCTAAGTCTTTGTCAATTAATTTCAATTCAATAACAGACTTAGATTTCCTGAAGGATTGGCAGATAAAATGACTTGTCGTGCATTAAAATATTTTGTCAAAAAGAAAGTGTTAACAGATGTAAGAATAACATATTAATTTATCCACAGGCATTTGATACGTCCCTGGTTTAACTTAAAATGTGTATTTCTTAATTAAGTAGATGAGCAAATGGAATACATCAAATATTTACTTAATGTAACAATAATCATAAACAAATCAAAACCATGTGTCAGCAGAGAAGTGAAACAGGTAGATATTTTCTTGTCTAATATGTGTTTGTATGACGTTTGTAGAAAGCTGACTTGACAAAATTGATTATACATACAGTATGCAGTACAGTAAAGCTGGATATTTGTAAACATAACATGTGTTTGTCTTTTTTTAGTTTATTTTACAATTTGACATGCACCCATCAAAAACATTAAGTACCAGCAACATAATAGGCCTATGGAATTCTCTGGTAGAACAGACACTTGTTTTACTAAAAGATCCGACCAATAGAACGATGTGTACAATGTACACATGCTGACACCTGCAGCCGTACTGCACGCGCACCGGTTACCCCCATGGTACACGTGAAACATGACACACTGTCACTGTCATTCAATTTAAATCTACATCGATTTTCTGAATGAACTGCTCACTTACTATAACAAATTATGAATTGTCGACAACAACGGGTTAAGTTTCTGTCCTCGGGAGGGTAGCTACACACGTACTGGACCGTGACACAACTTAGATGGTATCATAATCACAGGGCTAACAATTTCATCCCAATGTCTCCAGAAGACTGCCCGATAGGCCTTCGCATGCAGTCTGCATCAAAGCACATTCACTTACCTTTCACAATATCACAAGACGTTCCCTGACACACACGTCGACTTTCCAACTCCTCAATTTCCCTTTCACTGCTTCCTGGTAAACACAAACACTATAAGTTCCTCTCTCAACGTCCAACCAAGTAAGTTTCCGCCATAGCGGAAATGTACCGTGTTAGTTGTGTATTGTGGGAATTAACAATGACGATTGGGGGTCATCTCAAAAACCATTACAGATAACCCAATTATAAGTAACGGTAAGAGTTCTTGTTCTGGTTCATTAACCGTCACACCTGAAGGACATTTCATTAACCATGCACTATTATGTAATCTATGTTATAATTTTATTTTCTCTTTTATTTAAAATTCAGTTTTTTTTATATGAAATAGCTTTGAAAATGAAATATGTTGGACTCATGACGCTTTTAAAGCAAGGTTTTTTTAAATTGACTGAAGGTAACTTTAAATGTATATTACAATAAATAACTGAAACATACATAAACACAAATGTACTTACTTGTTCCGTTCGTATATGCGTGTATACAAAGTGGTGTTACCTGTGTTCATAAGAACTCCATATATGGAGTCTAACTGCGACTTCCAGTAAAATCGCTAAGTGGGTCTCGTCATAAACAGATATATATATATAATTCTCTCTTTTCAAGAAAAAAAACTATGTGCACAATAGAAGACACTACATTTATTGTATTTGAACTTTGTTTAACCTTTGTTTATGAATTGAGATCACTCCATAGTTAAAAACGAAGATAAATAGAAAATTTTGCTTTGAAATATATACATATATATATGTCGAGGCCCCCATGGTCTCTGAGAGCGAGCCGTAAGTCTGTGGATTTAGAAACACCAGGGTGACTTCACACTTTCAACGGTATAATTCTGAATATTCATAAAATTAACCTTATAGCGATTCCTGATTATCAATTAATACGAAAGAAATAATTCCGAATGGTTCAAACTTTTTTTCTATAAGACCACACCGTACTTCACATAAATAGACGTAAATTCTAGATTTCATTAGAAATTTACAAGACATACTTAGCATAATGACACCCACGGAAAATAGAAAACGTCGTTGTTTTGTTTAGAATGTGTACTTTTTATTTGAGTATGTTTTTCTAAAAATAACTCATACGAAGGAACGTTTGTATCTAACGGTTTGAAATATTTCAGGAGTGTTTGGTCGGAAGCTGTTAATTCCAGTAGATTTTTGTTTCCGTAGACATGTTCAGGAATCAAGGATACATATGGATGTTCCACTTAAGGAGAATGGAATTTTCACATTGATTCAGGGAATTTCAGAAAATGTTGTCCTTGGTGTATTTTTATTTTAGTGTCTTCTAGGCTGCTACTGTTGTTGTTTTGTATTAAATTGATCAGAGTCGCTATTTCAATCGGGTAATTTAGGGTTTGTGTGTGTTGGATAATGAACGAGGTACAATCATGACAATAGTATCCGCCATATTCGTCCTTGCTTCCATCCTCATTACTGGTACTAAATACTACCGATAAATTATTTGTTTAGATTTTCTCACGCAGAAAAAAAATGTCACGAATGATATCGTTTTATTCAAGAATAACGTACAACATTTCTTCTTTGTATAAATATGAATAAATCAAATATATATAATGATTATCAATCATTCACTAATATCAATTGAGATAAATTCAAACTAATGTTACGTTTAACGCCCAAATATCTAAATCGCGCTTCAGAATTTGATAAGTTATTAATTAAAAATCATACATAAAGAAAATATGCTCACTGCAGTTATGAATTATGAAAAATGGGAGATCTTCACTGACAATAAGTATAAGCGTTATGGGAAGGAGTAATAAAAAAAAAAATATTGCCCCGGCCGGGGTTCGAACTAGCAACCCTTCGGTCTTTTGCCAGACACTCTACCGCTAAAGGGGAAATTCCCACAAGGAAATCGACACGTACTCTCAAACTCTACACTACTCCCTCCTTCACAAAGTCTTCGACCCCGAAGACAACAAACAACCCGTGTTCTCATAAGTTCCAAGGGAGCATTTCAATTCCATATAGCTTCAACCCTTGGGGTGTCAACGGGTTCGAACTAGCGACCCTTCAGTTAGTAGCCGGGCACTCTATTGCTCGAGTAAATGGAAACTCCCACTAGCCAAGGCTAGTAAGGCGACTTGTACACTCAACTTTTATATAAGTAATATAGATAATGAATATATGAAATGACTTTTGACTAAGTATAGAGTTTTGTGAACATCTGTCTTTTTTCTTTTTCTCTTGTCTTTTATAACACAAGAATTAGAAGTGATGTAGAATTTTTTTTCCTGCTCGAAACTAGTTTTCAAAAAATACAGAAATTTAATTTGAATGACCGTATAATTGATTAGTAATGCAAATTCGAAACTTGGAAATAGATATCACAAGACACTAGCTTCCTTTCCATGATAACTTAACTGGTATATATTGTGATACGTCTATAAATTTCGCGCACTTATCATTAGGATGTAATAAATATGCTTGCTCTCCACATTGCGTAATCAAATCTCGAAGCGACTAAAGAGGTATGGCGCAGAACGACACGTGAAAACCTATATCAGTTAGTTGCATTCGTAATGTCTAAATACACTGTGACTGACCCCAGGTCCACGTGATGTCGGGGAGTTCTGTTAAAAAGTTTGGGATATCCGTGGTATGCTACAAGTACATTGTACCTGTTGAAATCTGAAACAGACACACAACTAAAAGTGCATATATGTATGAGTAACTCACCCGCCGCTTTGGTAAAGCTCACAAGTGAATAGTCCCTCTCAATACACATTTTGAATTAGATACAGCAGAACGAGATAAAAACTAAAATGAATCAATCTGCGTCTCACAGCTTTATCTCTTTCCTTCTTCCAGTTTTTACTGTCTTATTCTAATCTTAAAGCTGCTGTGAGAGCATTAAAACACAAATTAAAAAACAACAAATTTTTTTGCACGAACTTTGTGCTTGTTTAAACGGGAGTCCAATGCATTTGATAAGCATTGTGTATACTGCAAAAAAGGCATTGTTTATATCCCCTATAAAATAACCATGAATGTGTCTTATGAAAACATGTTCGAACATCTTACCTGACGATGATAACAACGATCGATATCGGTTGTTATCAGAGGAGATTGCCTGTCACTGTTTCCACACATGTAAATCTATTTATATCAGACGAAACTTAAAGTTTAGTCTATTTTTAACGATGTAGAGTGACGTGGGGCATGTAATGACTTTTACCATCCTTTTCACACGCATTTCCTAATCTCAAGGTTTTAATTAAAATGCCTGAATCGACACAGAATAGTTTATTTATTTATTTATTTATTTATTTATTTATTTTATTTATTCATTCATTCATTCATTCATTCATTCATTCATTCATTCATTTTCATTCATTCATTCATGTTTTTATTTATTTATTTATCAGTTGTAAAGTAGGGATATCTATGTGTCGTTCCACAGAGACATTTTTTAAACTTATAGTTGGATATTTACACTCACTCTTATATCTGTTTATAAACAATGCCGGTAATGAGAGAATTGTTCACTCATTCCATAATTGTACACAAGTTTAAAACAATAAACAAAACGTTGGTGGCGGTTGATGTTGCTTGTGTATCAATTTTAAGAAATCGATAAATAAAAGCCTTATGTCGCGTCGTCGTAAAAAATCCACATGGAATATTTTTCTTGGTTTTGACATATGTTGTCGGTGTTTTGGACGCTATCTAATAATCTGATCAAATCCGAATCTTTGAATCCTGTTATCGATTTCCCAGACTAGGGGGAAATTGCAGCTCCAGCCGTACACTGGTCAAATTTTGAATGAGCCTGTCCTGTTTTTATGACAGGAGACGACGGCAGCCCGTCGTCCATATTGGATCCGATCAGTGTAAGTACGGCAACATTGTATCACAGGGACTTGACACTATAATACAAATATATATGGACGGTGGATTGGGAATTCATGTCAAGTCCCTGTGTATGATATTGGTTTAAGAAGGAACAGAGTGTAACGGTAACATTGATATTCAAATTATTTGACGTTTGGAACAATGACGTCAGACAGTAGGTCATCTTGATTTTACTGACAACCTCTAGTTGATTGTATAAAAGACACAAAAGTGAATAGCACATTTAAACACAAATTTAGAGTTTGAGCCAGAGTGCAGTAGAGCCAAACAATTTATTAAACTGGACCATACAGCTGTTTCGTCTTTCTACGAATCGTCAGTGATGCCAAGGGCCTAAAGTTTGATGCCTCGGAGGCGATTGAGAAAATTCCACAGTGATCGATAGTAAAGTGAAAATCTACATGGTGGGTTGGGGGGGGTGCACCCATAATTCAATCAATTTCGTAATTTTCTTATGCCAGAATATTTAAAAATAATGTCAAGTACATATAAAATGAAAGTAATAGGCATACCTTGCTAGGTTTATTGAGGTCCGTAGGGAGAAAAATCAGAGAGGCAAATGTTCTGGGAAATTATTTTCAAAGCAGTATTGTGAAATCAAAGACAGTAATGTTTAACTTCGCTCTGCAGCACGTCTCAGTTTTATCTGTGATATCTAAGGAAAGTAGAATTAGGGTTCTTTAGTCAACTCGTCATCCGCAGTGTGATCATAAACGGCGTTGATTATGCCATAAAACCAAAGATGTGAACACCAAGGTCGACATCGTTGCCATCAATGTCAGTAATAAACGATACAGTTCCGTCTCTATGCACGAGAACAAGACACGCCCATATGATCGATTCATCCTCGTGATGACTTTTCACTCCACCTGTATTTTAGTCTGTCTACAGTTGTTACTGTAAATCTACCGAAAGTAAACTCTCGCGGGGTTGGCGGCAATGTTAGATTACAATCACAAATCCAGAGAGACTCCGAAGAGTGGGACCGTTGTGAAAATGCCGGAAAGTAAAGCTGTTGAGGGAAGAAAATGAGTGGAAATAATTAGTTCACAACATTTAACTGTTTTGAGACATATGCAGGTTATTAGAAAACTGTTTTATCATTCCATCGATGATTGATGTACAGCTGTCACGCTGTTGTAAACTATTAAAAAAATACACTGTCTGAACGTCAACCTTTGCCGGGGTTGCTAGACTTTGGCGTTTTATATTTGGGGAAATTCTGACTATCTTCTCCGTACAAGACAAAAGTATAATCGCGGATAAACAGTCAGAGCCCTTTGGACAATGCACGTGCAATAATACGGAAGTTTAAACGACTCCCATGGTCAATGACACAGTTTTATCAGAGCTCGGGGTGACCGCCATTTAACTATCTGTTGTCTATGGTTGTTGTGTGTTCTTTTGCCTTTTTAATATTTTTGTTATTTCGCTTATCATTTTTCGTCATCTCGTTTTGTCGCTGCTGAAAGACGATGTTAAACGGAGCGAAATGACGGGGCATTCGTAATTTGCAGCGAAATAACGATTTATCCAGCGTAGTTGGTCATCACCTACAATTTGACGACCGGCTTGAAATAAGAGGACATAATCTTTATTTATTTATGGGATTCATGTTGGCCTACTGGCAGCCATCTTAGTTTCCAACATCAAAAATTTCAAACGACACTGTTATCGCCTCAGGAGGCTATTACGTCTTGGTTCAATATTGTGCACTGTTTCATTATGTCGAATTGAATTTACCAATAAAAAAGTGCATAGTTTCAATCTAAATTTGTACTTTACAAAACCAGACTTGAACGACCTGTGAAGATTCTGACAAACCAATTACAGCTGCCAGTCAGCCATCTTGAATCCGATCAGATGATTAAAAGCGTGGTTTTCATGTAGATAGAGTCATTTGCTAACCCCTTGAGCTTAATGCACATCCGTACAATATATTCGAGAGAACCCGCTTACAAAATTATCCAAATAAAAGCAAATGTATTCCTGTATTCCAGTTGTAGAAATAGAATTCGCCCGCATGATGTGTTTAGTCCTTTACATCACAGATAACAAGAAATTAGAAACAAAGATGCAGGTACGGAGTGTATATTGTAATGTATATCACCGCTAACAACAGCATATTTTCATGAATATTTGAAATATATATATAACAATTCATGTGATAAACAGAATCTTACATTTGATTCCGTTTTATATCAGGACTATGAAATTCGTCAAGATATTTTTTACCTCGCAAACTTTAAGGTCCTTTATAATTCTTTGCGCTTCTGCCATTTCATTTACCATTAAATAAACCTAAATTGTATACATTGTAACTTCAATCGTTGAAATGAAATAAATAACCAAACAAACATGCAATCAAAGCCTGTATTATCTTTCTTCTCGTGTATGTTTGTTTTTGCATGATGAATAGAAAAATGGAAAATTTGAAAAATAATGAGAATTATTATGCAAAGGTTACTTGATAAGTCCTGAGCGTTTTATCATAGAACTTCAGGAAGGCTATGTTTCTATACCTATATATAGCTGTAAACACTTTAAAAAATGTCAATACACCATAATAGGAAGGTTGGAAAATCTCAAAGTACCCCACCAAGCAATATCAGTCTACATTCAACGTTTAAATTACCAAACGGTCTTGGTGTTATTACTGTAGATAACGACCTGGAATTCGACAATCACATACCTGCTGCAGTCTCAAAAACATGTAGGTTTGTTGGCGTTATATTCAAGACCCTCACAATATTTAATGACCAAATTGTAATATATATACGTCAATATTCATGACGTGTCTTGAATACTTTTCCGTTCTCTGATTGAAGTGTTCAAGAAGTGTGAGTTCTATTTTTGAAGACGAGGCCGCAATTTTTACAAAGACTCCTAAACTGATCACCAACCTTAGAATACACAGCCGGACCGCATTATCTCGAAGTCGGAGGAATAACCTCGAGTTATCCGAGTATTCGATTTAAGTTAAATCAAATGTTAAGTCTAAAATTTATCTTCGAGTTATGAGTTCGAGATAATGAGTTATGAGTTCGAGATAACGATGTTCGACTGTACATTTAAAACCTCAAAGAGATAAGTGTTGTGGAACAGGATACTATTTCCATAAAAAGCACCAGGTATAGGAACGAGTGAAAGTACCAAGAAAGAACGAAGAATTCGAACAGTCGTCTTTACCATTTTTTTCATCCACAGGCATTTAGAAAAGTCTGTCGCAAACGACTAAATTTTTCCTATTTGAATGCAATATAACTGGACAAAACTTCGTTTTAATTTAATTGTCAAATGCAACAAGCACGCACGAGTTTTTAGTTCATTTTATTCGTGACAAAAGACTTCAATATAGGGTTTTATTACTATTGATTGAATCATGTCTCTAGAGTCAATGGACCACTTTATCATCATCATCATCTATTAAAGAATTGAACAGCCATGACAAGGCATTTATGATCGTTATAAATGACATAGCTTTCCCAACAAGTATCACATTCCGCACAGACGATAAGCGCTCAAAATAGTATGTTTAGCTAATAAATTGTGTCATTTATATGGGCTTTAAATGTCATAATCAGTAAGTTCAATACCTTAACATTGTATTTTAATTCATTACGCGTGAAGTTTTCTTGTTAACTTTGCTTAAAATGTAATGAACAACTAATAACTGAACGAGTAATTCGTCAATCGAAACCGCCATTCAGAATGTTTGCCGTTTCCAGGCACACCGATATGATGTTGATCACACACACTGGGTATCATTGATGGTGTCATAAATAACACTTCTTTGTAAGTAAATAGTGGTATTTTCATGTAATTGTGACTGCATGAACTCTTTAAACAGAATTTGCCGTATCCAAAGGCCGTCTCTAAGAGGATTTTAATGGCTTATACTTGTTAAAATATTATGTCATTTGTTGTACACTACATTACCACGGTTACTGATTTTATGTTAAGTAAAGTACAACGTATAATATCTCAAAATATTACATCCACTCGGCAGACTGAATACAAATTATATTGAATGCAATCGAACGCGCCTTAGCGTAACCGGAAGTTAAACATTAATGGCATCACATACGGAAAGTTGAAAAAGTACAACCGTTTTTATCTGCACAACAAGGAAATTCAAGGTAGAAATCGGGATTTTCATGTACGCTTATAACTTATTATAGTTTCAGAAGCAACGATGAGTTACATGCATTTTGCAAATGCAGCATCAGTTGTCTAATTAATTCAATGATTAGCTTATTTGTGTTGCTGTTGTCGTATGGCAAGTGCTCGGGACAGATTGGGACCGTATATATATCACGATTCTCAGTTTTTACAGATCTAATGGTCGTTATGCTTTGTGATAATCAAAACTTGTATCCATATATATTTCTATAGTGAATGCAAATTTAAGTTGTATACTTCATCTTTTTCATCGATTCACAATTTCTTTGCTTTGCAACGTATTGATTTTTATCCAATGTTGCGTATTAAGGAATATCAACCGATCGGTATTCCCAATATTATGCAGGAATTCAAAATGGTTTCATTAATTTGGAAACCATTACCACCATCATTGTTGTAATTCTTACTTATGCTTAATTTTAAAACAAAATGAACAGTAAGCCATGGCATATACATATTTAATCAGTTGAGTTTTGCCGAATACATGTCGTTGTGGGTATTTCCCTGGTAGCTTTTGTTACTGAGTTTAGTAAAGATATATTCAAAGATTACTATCCGATATATTTGAAAGCACTAAATGAAATATCATATTTGTAACATTTTTAAATTGATGCAGATATTTGCATTAAAGGTTGTATTTAATGCCATTTGTTTCAGAGGTGTATATAAGTATAACTATTAAATGATAATTTTTATTTAAACGCCAGAAAATCTATTTTTCAAGAGGTTATGACGTTGAGTTTGATGATTGTGCTCTAAATTGCATAATGGGAGTTGCTTCCCTTACAATAAAGCACATGTAATGATGTTTGGATTATGCTTAGATAGGTCTTGGTAAGTATAGACAAATTTCGGATTTTAATAATGAAGCTAAACAGATATCTAGCAAAACTAACCAGATATCTCAAGCATTCTTTTTGGACCTGTGTTCTAAAGCAACATGGCTAGATATGATAATAATCACCACAAAATATGTCTGATACATATAACATGACCAATGAAATTCATATTCTTTCTTTATCTTGTGATAAAAAGTTTCTAACAATTTTGGCAAGACCATGATGAGAAAAGCATTATGAAAGCTAATTAGATGCATTTTTTGGTTAACTTATCGTCATCTTTTGATAAACCACCAGAAATAACCTTCATTTAGTTCATTTTATTTGAAATGAATATAGTATGTAATGAAACTTGCGTGACAGTTGACTCAATTCTTGTGTATGTGTAGCTGCATTGTCATTTTGTCTGTCTTAAAAAAATGTTGTAAAGATCAACAAAGGAGATATTATAGATGCTTTGTTTTGTGGGCAAGAACTTTCAGTGTTATTCAAAGCACCAAGGACTGTCACAGAATTAGAAACCAGTGAATAATACAAAGTCCTGATTTTATAGCTGTGATACGACAAAATGTATTATCACATCATTGTGTCCCGATATGAAATTCCTTGTAACTCTTGTCATTGAAGCAGAACCATCAACAAGTAAAACATATATTGAAAGGAATAGATTAAAAAAACAAGCAAACATTGTAGTGTCATTCGAAATTAAGACATTTTCAAAATTTAGGTTTTGAATTCACTAGATATTTACATATTGTAAGACATATTAAAATGAAACCTCTGTAACATGTGTACAACAGCCTGTTATTTGTTGCTTTTGTAATTTCCTATTGATTCCAGTTATAAGATAAAGAGGAGGAATACTCACCTACTGAACCAAGTCTGTTGAAAGGATGGAACCTGAATCTACTGACCCAAAAGTAACAGTAGTGCATGTGGAAGCCCCAGTACTGTCTGGTATGTATATAAAATGTAGGCATTTAAGATGTCATTGTATTATGGGGCTATTATAGCTCATTTGATTAGAATGTTGGGTAACCTAGGCAACCTGAGGTGAAGATCTGAGGTGCGCAGACTGATGCTCTCAGCCTGTGGCAGTTTGTTTTCCTCAGGAAGCTGAGCGGTGCTGATGTGGTTGTGTTGTAGGGTGAGACACTTTGTCCTTGACCTTGTTGCTCTAGACTGCAAGCAGCAGGCCTCCCTTATGTGGTTCGTTGATGCTGCCACCAGCTAATATGAGGAGATCCTGCTTCAAAATGACAAAATGACCCTGGTTGTTCACAAAGTGATAAACCAGCAAACACATTATACATGTACAAGGTCGAAAGAAAATAGTATAAAATTAGCTATTAAAGAAAAATACTGCTAAAGAAAACCACAGTCTGGTTAATTCTTTTTATGTTTTTACTTTTGGGGTAAAATTGTGAAAATTTGAACCACGGAAAAAAATTATATATAAAAGCCCATAACTATATATGGTCATCCTTATGTGTAATGTCACTTCAACAAAGGATGGACATACATTTTTTCTGTTCAATGCATTATGTTACTCTTTTTTTTTTTTTTTTAACTTTTTGTGAAAAACTTTGGGTAAAAGATGGTGATACATTCTGTTAGCTTTAAAGCCCTGAGTGATCGGGTGAGCGGGGGATACCTTGGTACTGATTTTGGTCTGTCTGCTGTATTTATAATCAATAAGATCTTTAATAAGTTTAATATTGATCAAAATCTGCCAGCATTTGCCAGATTTACAGGACTGTAAAGTCCTTTAGAAAAAAAATGAAATTCCTATGTTTCCAACAAGTTTCATTAATTTTTACCATCAGATTTTAACCAGATTTACTTGATATTAGTAGAGCTGAAATGAGTTAAATATTGGTAAAAATCTGTCTGTATTTTATATATCCATTTATGTAATGCTTTTTTTAGCACATAGGTTCTGAATGACCTTTCATTGGATACAATATTTGCTCAACTGCACGTTTGATATATTGCAAATATGCCATTATATTGAATGTCCAAGCCTTCATGAATGACTTCTCCTCAGAGGCATATTGTTTCTCTTGTTATTTTATGCAAAACAGGTATGACAAAATATTTGGCATCAAATTATCGATTTTGTTTTTTTTAGATGTTGGTGTTGTCAAGGAGAACAAGCAAGGGGAGGTAATAGGTGAAATTTGTAAAGGAAACAAAACTGAAAAAGCAGTGACTGTTCAGAAAAAAGGCGGAAATTCTAATGAAAGTGCAGATGGTTTGAGGGTTAAACAAGGTTTGCATTCTATACCAGTGTTTTTTTAAGGGTTTTTTTTTAGAGTTGTTAATGGGCCCCATAACCAGATGAAATTATTTCATATTTAAGCCAAATTCCAAAATATTATAATTTGCTCTTAAAAATTTCTTCCTAATTCACCAATTTCTTCACAAATTGTGGCTAAAATGCCATATTCCAAACAAGTGACCCAAAATAATGTATACTCATGTGTTTGTATGAAAAGATTTTTATAAGGACGGAAATTGAAACATAATGTGATAATACCTGTATACAATTTAAAATGTTAGATCACTTTCATCGGTGTGTAAAGATAAATACCAAGTTTATATATTAAGATATATCTCTGGATCACCTCAACAGATTCTGTTCATATACACACTATATTCTCAAGACATTAAATTCTCTTCAAATTAAATATTTTCAGTTTTACTGGTCATTGGTCAAGGTTAAAGGGTCATAGGTCACACTTGACCTCATTTGAAATAATGGCAAGATCAGAAATTAAGTGAAAATAGGATACATTTGTTTTTCCCTATTTGCTGTTAGCATCATATTTCAGAAATATCCTTATGACTGTACACATCATTTTCTAGAAGCCTCGCCAGCTGTTAACACCATAATTGGAAAAGATGAGGATGGGGAAGTAATAGACATGTCAGATATTCGTGTCCTTGAAGATTTAGACACAGAAAATAAATCTCCAGAAAAGGAAGAAATGACACCAAACAAGGCAGGAAAGATGGAAGAAACAGATGAAGAAGATAGCAAAGACCCAGTGGCAAAAAAAAGTATGTGACAATCTAACTGTTCGATTTTCGGATGGAAATTTGTCAGAAAATCTTTGCATTTCAGTTATTAGGACTATCAGAATTATCTTGACTGCCAGATGGATATGGTAAATTTTATTTATAAGTATTGGTATATATCTGTGTTTCAGGGAAGTCCTATGAGTTTTTCTACCCAGACATGGTCTCCACTTTAGAACTAGCTCTCCGTGGATTACCAGGTATGGCTAATTGTCAGCAATCCAAGGTGATTATCCCCCAAAAGGATCCTCCACCAAAAGGACCACTTCAAATGGGATCTGCTCAGAAGAGACCAACACCAATCAGAGACTTTGCAAAAGAGGCTAAGAAAGGTATGTTATAGTAAAAGATGAGTATCAGTTTTGCTTGATCACTGATTCACCGCACCATTTTGTTGCCATAGACATCAGTGCTCAAAAAATTTATCAGACTCTCAGATATGATTGAAATGAAACAGCTGTCACTCGAATTGGAATCAATTTTCTTACTGGTATTAATATGATATGGTCTAGTATCATGAAGACAATGAGCATGGCACACAAAATTACACTGAAAGTTTCCTTCCCAGCATGCACCAGGAACAACACTTGACTTGTTGATGAATTGCTGAATGCTTTTGACTATTTGTATGCTCTCTGCAGGGAGAGCATGTAGTCAATGCTTTGTCTGTCCATTTATCCGTCTGTCTGTCTGCCATAATTTTGTGCGGAGAATATCTCAAAAATCATAAGAGGTATATGAAACTTCATATGTAGATAGATCTTGATAAGGAGAAGTAATTTGTACAAGAACCATAACTCTTTCTTGCATATAAAGTCGTTTTTCGAGAATATTCATTAGTTCAAGACTCCTGGACAAGAATGTTCACTTTATGTGTCTAATTTAGGCATCATTGTAATACTGAGTTAATCATTTCATGTAAATCTGAAAGAGTTTGAGGTTTTCAAAACCTGGTACATCCTTGTTCTATATACTTTGACTTAACCCTAAGTAGGACACTTGAAAATTTATATTTTCAGCTTTGAAAAAATCTGGAAATATTGTTGAAGTGAGAGCCACTCGTAAATCTACACGTAATGCGACAAACCCTACAAAACCAGTGTACAACACAGGAAATGTAACTGCAGTCAAGACAATTAATCCCGAAAAGGCGATGCAACCACAAGTGCTTCTAGACCGAATACAAGTCAAAGAATCTCAAAACACCAAATCGAAGACCTCGACAGAACCAGTAGCAAAGAAAGCCAGAAATACACCAAAGGCAGCTGGAAAGAAAACCAAAGTCATGCCGCAGGCTGTTGCTAAACAACCAAAGATTAAACCACAGGTTGTGACAAAACCAGTACCAGTGGAGGTCACCACACCAAAGAGCAAGGCCGTGCCTTCTAAATCTGGCCAAGAGACATTTGTAGTTGCACCAGGGGGCCATCAGATTGCAATTAATTATCCCCCACCTGCTGGTGCACTTTTCCGTCCATCTGTCACACGCAGTCGAGAGTGGAGGAAAAAGGGTGAGGCACCTCTGCTCTATTTGGTAGCTACTGAAACATTAATTTATATCATTGATATGTTTTCTAATTCAAAAATTCTGGTTTAGGCTTTCTTCTTTGTATATCTTAGCAATAGAGAATTGGTGTAAATGTTTACAGTAAAAAAAATATTTTTGTGAGAATCTATTTTCAAGGATGAATTAAAAGAAAAAAACGACACACCAACAAAAATTAGATTTATACAAAACAGTTCACCATTTAATGACTTTGATGAAAGATACTATCCATTTGCATCAACATTTGGTAAAACTGCAAAACTTTGGACAATTGAAGAGAGAGAAAAAAATATTAATGATTAATACATATGATGGCAGAATTATTCTCTGTTAGTAAACTTTGTCAGTCCGACCCAAGTGTTCTAATATTCTGTGTCAATGGCATGAATATATACAATGGATATTTTTGTCTATCAAGTATTTTGTTATCAGCCTTACATAGTGAAGGGTTGGACAGGCTCTGTGTTATTTAAGTAGTAGACCCGAAAAACTTAAGATAAATATTTCATTTTATGTTCAAGCAGAATATCTGAAGATACAAATGTTATAGTTAGTGAAATATTTCAGGTCCAGGCCGATCGTCACGTTCAAAAGGAAGTGGTCTGATTGTGGATAATCAGAAGGAGATACCGACAGTGATGATGAAAATGAGGGTGTCTGATACGTCCGATATCGTGACTACACTTGATCTAGCCCCGCCCACAAAAAAACTGATGCAGTTGAAGGAGACCGAGGGCAGTAAGGTGTTTGCTGTGCCAGGTCGTAACCTCACACCTCGTCTGGCATGGCCGGTAAGTAGGAAGTCATCACTTGGCTAATGTTAAGGGTGCTGTATTCAAGGATTTTATTTTTTTGTTTGATTTTTTTACAATTTCTGACTGAATATATTTATCACGAAAAAGTTGATACACTGAAAATAACATTTCAGTAAAAATTATTGTATAATCTATAACATCAGCAAAAAAATAATTCCTTATGTTTTTAAAAGATTTTGGTATACTCTAACAAGTTTGAACTATTGACATCCCGCAGTAAGCCCCAGAAATCAACACATAATCTCATACTAAAGGTCAGGGGTCAGGGGTCAGGGGTGGGCTTAAAACAGAGCAATGAAATACTTTTACTTTGTACTTCTACCAAAGAGAGAATGATATGGTTGGGCTTATTGCTGGATAAAACCTAATATAATACTGTAAATATTTTATTCCCATTAATTCATGATACACGGTTGGAAGAGTTATTCCCCTTGTGAAACTTGATACCCACACTATCCATATATAATTAATGATAATCATTTAAAAGATATTTAACATTTCTCAAAAATAGTTTTTGATTTTTTCCAGCTTTTTTATCCTAACTTGTTGACCAAACCAAGGGAAGATGACTCTGATGAAGATGATGATACTATAGCTGATGATGTGGTAGATGAGGAGGACAACCTTGACGGTCAGAAGAAATGTTTCACAATCATTCGCAGCGAGCCCCTCAGCTTATCAGACAGTGAAGATAACATCCACTGTACGTATGTGAGAGCAGGAAATACTTATGTACCAATTGATTTCATTGGTTTTTGTTTTCAATCAATTGTCAAAAAACAAATGAGTATGATCAATTTTCAGAAGAAAAATAGTAGTTTTCTAGATTAAAAATTTAGCAGACTAATAAAATTATAGGTATCACAAAATTGAGTCCAGTCAAGTATGTTTTGACAAAGCAAAACAGGAATACTGCCATTAGCTTGTCTCTCAAAACATTTAAAAGTGAAGGAAAGGCTTTCACAGCACATGTGTTGAGAGGGAACTTGATGTATATTTTAATGACACACACAGCACAGCGAAACACTCAGAAATTCCTAATATAGATTTAATATATTAAGTGGATGACATGTGATTGGTCATTAATCATTTTATAGAAACCAGTGATTGATGATGATTTTGAACCCAAATCCCACCACTAGCAAGGAGTGATAACAGGGCCGCAATAGTTTAGTTGGTAGGGCATAGCACTATGCAACCTTAGGTGAAGATCTGAGGTGTATGGTTCAATCCCTATCTAGGACGATTTGTTTTTGTGTGAAAGCTCAGATCACAGCTGTCCAGTGATGTTGTGGTTGTGTCGTTCAGCTAAACATTTTACCTCGAATGGTTTGGACAGCATGTGTCGGTGAGATAGCAGGCAGTTACGACAGGCAGACTCTATCTCAAAATGATTAAGTACATTCACAAGGCAATTATAACATAAACTTCTCATCATCAATCTAGATTAATCCAGTAAAGTATTGTCTATTATGTCGTCACAACTTTAAGGAGTAACAACGTCGTCATATATACCTAAAACTGTTACCTAAGGCACTCAGTCTGTACATGGTAAACTGATGATTACATAGCTGTTGGAACAACTACAGCAGATCGTTTTCTCATAGCAAGGATCTAATGAGGAGACTAATGCATGGTACTCACTTAGAAATTCTACCATTGTCTGAGACTTTGAGAGATTTTTGGTCCACTCATTGCGCTTGGTTTCAGGATTAAAATCAATTACCAATGATTTATTTTTTAATTAATTAAGTAACTCTGCAATGGAGGAACAACTTTTGGGAACTTTCCAGAATTTTCTTCAGGCATATAGATTTGCCCATTGTTTTTGAAGTAGTAACCAGTTATTAACATGTGTTTTACCTGTTTTGTAGACACAAACGTACTGTCAGACGAGGATGAAGATAATGTTGGACCTGAATACGAACCATCTACTGCAAGCGTATCAACGGATGAGATGAACGTTGAACCCAACAACACAGGAACTGTTTCCATGGAAACAAATGTAGACAATCCTCAAGTAATAATTATGGAAGAAAAGACAGATTCTCATCAACAGACTGTTTCAGGCGCTACAGAGAACATATCTTCCAGTCAGATGCAAGAGGTACGGGGCTTGAAATCAGAGAACATTACATCACAGACTATTGAGACATCTGCAGAAACAGTTATTTTAGGAGGGGAGGTACCTACGGTAGAAAGTGTAACCCCACCACAAGTTGTTGAGGGAGGGGAGGTAACTACTGTAGAATGTGTAACTTCACCACAAGTTGTTGTAGGAGGGGAGGTAACTACAGTAGAATGTGAAACTCCACCACAAGTTGGTGTAGGAGGGGAGGTAACTACGATAGAAAGTGTAACCCCACCACAAGTTGTTGAGGGAGGGGAGGTAACAACAGTAGAATGTGAAACTACATCACAAGTTGCTGTACAAGGGGAAGAGGTAACATCAGTAGATAGTGAAACCCCACCACAAGCTGCTGTTCAAGGGGAGGTAACTACGGTAGAATGTGAAACCCCACCACAAGATTTAGCAGAGGTTGTCAGCGGTTCTGCTAGCAATCCTGTGGTAGTGGACACTGGAGTAGACACATCTGTTGTGGATATTTCAATGACCTCTGTTGGTGCCAATGAAGCCACGATTGAGACAGTCAGTGCGAGTCCGCCGACGAGCAGCACAACAGCTACAGCAGAGGATGGCTGTGTCATAGTTTCAGTTGTCACGGAAATATCAGAACCATATGTAGAGCAGGACGGAGAAATCATGATTCCAGCAGACTCAGAAGACAATTCCGATGAAAAATATATATTGTATATGGAGAAGTGATTTTCGAAATATAATGTTTAGTGGATAACATTTTATTTCTATTTGAATCTCCAGGCTTCACACATACTCTGTGTGAATGTTATGGGAGACGGTTATTCCAAACGTCATTGTGTATTTTAAATGACCAAAAGGTTCAATTTTTTAAATATTGTTCCAAAACAATTTTATGAAGCAGAGTTTGTTTTTTGTGATTTGAAACACCATACCGAGCGCTAGTTCTTTGTATAAGGTATTTAATTCTAACTGTAAGGAGTGTGTTTGAATTAGACAGTGGAATCATGTTTACATGGGAAACACAAGTGAGCAATACATTTTGATACAAATGAAGTAAAATATACAATATAGAAGAATTATTTGTTAAACTGAAGCTGTTTCGTCTTTCTAGGATACATCAGTGATTCTAAGGTCCTATTAAAGGTGTGAAACTTTTGAAGACGGATATGAAAGTCAGACAAAGGCAGAGAGATCAATAGGAAAATTAGAAATCAGTAGAAAAAATATCAATACACAGAGGTACACTTACCTTGTAAAAATTTATGTAAATCTCCAGGCTCTGCCACTAACTCTGTGAGATAGGATATAGCCACACCCCATCTTGGGTAGACAGGCGTCACTCTGCCACTAACTCTGTGAGATACGATATAGCCACATCCCCATCCTGGGTAGACAGGCATCACTCTGCCACTAACTCTGTGAGATATGATAAAGCCACATCCCCATCTTGGGTAGACAGGCGTCACTCTGCCACTAACTCTGTGAGGTAAGATATAGCCACATCCCCATCCTGGGTAGACAGGCGTCACTCTGCCACTAACTCTGTGAGATATGATATAGCCATGTTCCCATCCTTGGTAGACAGACTTGGCCTTGCCACCAACATTGGTAGGTGAGATATAGCCACTCCCCATCCTGGGTAGACAGACTTGGCCTTGCCACCAACATTGGTAGGTGAGATATAGCCACACCCCATTCTAGGTAGACAGACTTGGCCTTGCCACCAACATTGGTAGGTGAGATATAGCCATTCTTGCAAGAAAGGCAAATAAGTAAAAGCTCCTCTAACTTTGGAAGAGGAGGTAATATCAAGCCTTGAAACTACCAGTTAGATTGGAGGGAAGTTAAGAATACAAAAATATGTAAATATATTTATGATTTGCCATGCATGTTCTAGAATACTAAGCCATGCCTCCATCTGTGGTGCATGTTGTTGGCCCTTCATCATTGCTGGTACATGTTGTAGGTCACACCTCCATCCATATATTGCAGACCACATTTCCGTACCAGGTGTTTGTTATAGGCCTGGTTTATATTGTAAGCCACACTCCTATTCCTGGTTTAAGTTTTTAGGCACAGTGCATCCCTGGTGTTTGTTGTGTATATTGTAGGCCTGTGCCTTAATCCCTGGTGTTTGTTGAAGGTCCTGTGCCTACATCTTGCTGGTACATGTTGTAGGTCTATGCCCCAGACCACATGTGATGTTTATATTGTGCCACACTATTCCTGGTTTAAGTTTTTAGGCACAGTGCATCCCTGGTGTTTGTTATATATATTGTAGGCCTGTGCCTATATCTGAAGGTCCTGTGCCTACATCTTTGGTGTATCTTGTGGGCTACGCCCCCATATGTGATGTTTTCGGCCACACCTCCATTGATTATATATTTCTAGGCCACGCCTCCATATCTTGTCAAAGTTATGGCCCATGCCTCCATCTCTGATATATCTCGTAGGCCAAACATACAGGTCTAGTGTGGGTTGTAGGCCACACCTCAATCTCTAGTATATCTCAAAGGCTACGCCTCCATCTCTAGTATATCTCACAGGCCACACCTCCATCTCTAGTATATCTCACAGGCCACGCCTCCATCTCTAGTATATCTCACAGGCCACGCCTCCATCTCTGGTATGTCTTATAGGCCATGCATCCATGTCTGGTACATGTTTTAGGTCACACCTCCGTCTCTGATATATGTTGTGGACCACGCCTACATCTCTGGTAAACATTTTCTTCTGGCATAATGATAGGTCACACTTTCCTTATAGCAGATTGGACTAGTTGAGTCTGCTGTTTGGGTCAAGTTTGTGCCTGGTTACAGAGAAATTCTGCCAGCCTATTATAACATAGCTACCTAATGAATTATTTTGCATGAAAATCTTATTATGTAAGAAAGTGAAGCAATATTTGGTAATACATTCTGCCTAGTTCATGGTGAGTTCTTTGGAAGTCTTATCTGCTGTAAATATTATGTATATAATGTACATATATATGGAGAAATTGTGACAAAATATTTTTAATATACATCAGTTTGTATACCATTACACTTCTGGTTGTTTTTTAGATGAAACTTGTCGAGGTTATTAAAACAAATTTACTTTTATTATCATGTGATCTGGTGTTGTGTTTTTACTTTGCCACATAATAAAGATGAAGCAAAATGAAAACTCAACTCTACAGGGACATTTTGTCTACATGTTTCGGCCGTTATGGGTGTCATCAACGCATAGCAGCCGAAACATGTAGACATATTCCACATAGTCCTTGTAGTGTTGAGTTTTCTTTTTGCTGTGTTGTGTTTTCTTGTTAAGGAACTCAATTGAATCCTATATAGATCCGCCCAAGGACCCTACTGGAAAGTTCCTCACATGAGGAGTGTTGGTTTCCCGTTTATTTATTATACTTTGTTACATGCATACTGTTTATTTATTACCAGTATACCAAGAGTATCTAGATGATCAATTAAAGCTCCTTTTACTTTTCTGCTGGTTGTACCTGTCTGAAACTGATGGGAAGGTCAAGCTGAAAGGTGTCTATTAATGCATCCTCCAGGGGTTACAATCACTTTCGTTTTCTGCATTCCTGGAACACCTCAAGGTTCCAAGAGTGACATCTTGTGGACAATGTGAGCTTATGCCATAGTGTCGTCTGTTGTCCATCAACTTTTCATTTAAACAACTTCTTCTGAAATACCGAAAGGCGTAGAGTTATCATACTTGGCTTGAAGGTTCCTGTGATGAAGCCCAACAAAGTTTGCAAAAAGAAATAACCTTGACCCATATTCAAGGTCACAGAGGTCAAATGTGTTAAAACCTTTAAATGACTTCTTCCAAAATACCAGAAGGCCTAGAATCATTATATATAGCTGGAAGGTTCCTTTGATGAAGCCCAACAAAGTTTGCGAAAAAAATAACCTTGACCAATCTTCAAGGTCACAGGGGTCAAATGTGTTAAAACATTTTAAAAAATTCTTCTGAAATATCCAAAAGCCTAGAATCATTTTGCCATGACATATTTCAGGGTTGCAGAGAGCAAAAGTGATGGTAACCCAGGGTATCGAGGATACTATTTATGATTTCGACTAATAGAGAAAATATTACCAAAATCTGAAGGCCGTTTTTCCTCAAGGTCATAATCATAAAAATATTTCTTTCAGTTTGAACTTTGATTATTTTCAAATGCTTTCCTGTCATTAGGTTAAAAAAAAAGAGCATTTAAACTTAAAATTGAAATTTAGGACTCCTCAGTGATGCTGGGGGCCTAAATTTGAAACTCCATGATGTCATGTTTTTGTCTTGTTTTCTACAACATATCTGCGATGAAGAGTCTCTAAACCAATTCTTTTCATGTAAGCTTTACACTATGGAGCAAATAATAATAAGAGGACACAATAAACAAGAAGCCCTTCAGAATGATGTTCAATATCTCCGACGACGCTATTTTTTGGGGAGTATTGAAATTGGCTTCTAAACAAAAAACCGTCTTTCAATTATACGGAAAAGACGTCATGTAATCTAATGCGTATAAATTGACAATTTCCAAAACCTGCTGAGGCATCAGCTAAAACAAGGCATAGATAAAACAAACCGAAAGTAGAGGTCATTATACATTGATGTAAATCTGAAGTTATGATTAATTATTAATTTATAATTAGTTATATCAGAATTTCGCCATCTTTACCGTGTTACCATTCCGCTGATGATAGACAATGTTCTGTTAACGCACAGAGACGTGTAGTCTTATATAATAAAGTGAGAGATGAATATATATTATATTTACCATTAATTTTATCTGTAAGAGAATGGATAGTAAAAGTACATTTTGGGTCTGAAATTAAAGCACAAAAGGTATCTCTGGGAGCGATAACAACAGGTGTCATAAATCAGGCACTGGACCAGGCTTAACGATTTGTGAGTGACAGGTAGTGATGCACGCCTGATAACGGGAGGGGTGTGTACCTCAGTGTTGAAACACCGTGGCAGAATATCGCCGGTATGAGTGATCAGAACAGGTAGATGCTCTCTCGCGCTGGCGAACGTATTTGTAAGTAAACAAGATAAGAAACAATGTATAAGGTAGATCAAAGATGGGAAGTTGATAACGAGTACTCCTAGTCGCACGTGCCTTCATAATTAGATGCCCCGTGGGTTGGGTTATAGTTGTCCAATACGGATTGGGCTGAAATTAAGTATTTGGGTATTATTTATACTAAGACAAAAGCCAGCAGAAGTGAGTCGAGTAGCTAGAGAGAGTTGGGAGTTGGGAGTCGGATGTGGGACGGATGTGTAGTCCCTGTGGTAGAAACATTGAGATGTAACCGATGTTTCTGTACGTGCAGAAGGCCGAAAACGCACATGAAAAAAAGACCGCAATGGTAATGCAGATTAGGAACTATGTGACTGTTAATGTGACTTACTTGTCTTCTGTCTTCTGTTGTAGTATCGTCGTGCGGCGTAAACTGTAATGCATTGTATAAGCTGAACAGTTGCTGTTCGTGGACTGAACGCTGTCGTGAACTGGAGGAGTAATTAACTCGGTTATAGAGAGATGCAGTGACTATGAACTGTCATTTTAAACCGTGGGTTATTAGACCCGATGGATTTTTAATATTGCCGAGAAGCAGTATTACCAGCGAACTAGCAGACACAGAGTTATTGACAAACAGTAGATAGATTTCTAGGTGTAACACTGGATTATTGCCGTTGTAGATAAATAATATGTATTTGTGGAACTGTGCTTAAATCTGTGTTATGGCCACTTAACATTAACCTGTGGAAATATCACTGTTGTCCAATACGGATTGGGCTGAAATTAAGTATTTGGTTATCATTTATACTAAGACAATAGCCAGCAGAAGTTACTCTGGGATCGAGTAGCTAGAGAGAGTAGGGAGTTGGGAGTCGGACGTGGAGACGGACAGAATCCCGTATGGGACCTGCTCCGCGATGTACCTGGCCAAGTTGGTCCAAGGACATTTGTATGGAACTCTTTCATATGAACGGGTAACCTATTGAACCCGAGGATGCTTCTGTATGTTCATTAGGAACTATCTTTTTGTAATGGATATTAACGCGAAGTACTAACTATGGAAAACCACTATACGATGAAATAAACGTTTCGGCCAACCCAAGTAAACAACGCGTTTAGTCATTGTGTTACAACCATATAAGACTATATGTGTCCCTGTGGTTGGCGTGTATTTTCGTTATAATTATGTGCATTATATAGCCGGAAGTACATTGTAAATAATTTCTCCGCTACCAGGATATTTGTATAACCATATCTTCCCGTGAAAAGGATATTCAGTTTGATCGGAAAATATTCTTTCCAAAAAAAATGACTCGACGTAATCAAACGCCATTAAAACTACTCTTTTTTTCTCCTAAGGATTTGACAAACATACATGTCTGCATCTATAATCAAAACTTGTTGCATCACCAAATATGATGAATTATATGTATTCCTATTTTGTGTTTTCGGTAACAACATTATGCCTCTGACCACTGGTCAATACATAATTCAGCAATGGTCGATAGATGTCAATAACTAAATTAAGCTAGCCTCATTCTGGTAGATAAGTTATGATTAAAAATCTGACAGATGTCTAACTGAACAATTTTGAATATTTTAATCAACCTACATATTAGCTTTAATAATTCACATCTTCAATCCTTATCTATTACTTTCCTTGTTACAAAATAGTTCTGATCACGGCTAAATGGCATTTTCAATTCTATTATCAAACAACCTTCTCAATTTATACAAAATATATTCGTTAGCATGTTGTCTATGGTGAATACTGATAATTTGAGTTTTTGTGGGCCTATCATATCAAGTCATATACATGTACTTTTTTCATATCGTAAAACATTCATTCGTTCTTATATATGTAATAACACAAAGTCCTGGTTCGAAACTTATATTGTATATATTTGTGTGTATTATGTTTTGTTTTGCACCTTAACTTTGCTGCTAAATGGAGGCTCCACTGAAGAATATATGTCAAGAGTGCAAAAGAAAGTAAACAAAATTAGGTCTAAATTCTGTGTGGGCTAGGTCCATCATTCAATAAAGAAAAACGCCAGCTTGTGGTCCAACATAAAAAAAGTAAACACAAGTATATATATGAATTCCTCAGTGATTACACACGATTAATATTCTATAACATGCAAGTTTGTCATTGGTTGTGTGAATACATTATACATCCGATTTATCATAACCAAATATTTTTCTACAAACTTAACAGGTGCGAGTGTCCATCTCATACTTCACTTTTTTCTTTCTTTCTTTTTTTTTTTTGTCTTTTGTTTGTTTGGGTTTTTTTATTGGTGACAACACGGACTTATATACACATATAAGTCCGTGGTGACAATTTGATTTTCTCAGCTATGAAAGTAACTGTAAACACTCTTATATCTTTATATCTCTGAGCATATCTACCAGAAACATTTGAATGGTGTTTGAATATCACCTACCTAGCTTTCGATGTTGCGTTTTGTTATATTCTTAGTTATACTATTCACGTGCTACTTCGTTGTGATCTACCAATAACAAATTATTTTGACATGACTACGGTGCAGTTATCCTTAGGATCAGTCGGGCCTATCGAACGCGCCTTGTGTCTTTTATTCGGATGTCCCCGCTTTGTTCCCTTCATCGAATGGAAAAACGCCGAATCCAGAAAGAGAAAGACGATCACCTGCCCAAAGTAAATTGTTCAATTAATTAAGGTGTAAACCAATGTTTGACAATTGCAAACTTTCTAATTACGGGGGGAAATCGAAATATGTATTTGTACTAATATATTTTTATGTACGTGTGTCTAATATTTAATTAGCAGCTATAACTGGTTTCTGTTTGCAACTACCTACATACCTGCAATCACATATAGGTACTTGTGGACTCAACTTCAATGACACGTAAACAGAATAAGACCATTGTTTGATTTGTTATTTTAAGTGCTATTGAAATTGAGTCCACACGTACCTTCGCCTGCAATATAATCGAAACAATTTGTTAACATGCTCGAGAAAATTAAAGGGGGGTTATAGTGATCGATAATTTCGGTAAGTTTTGACTTCAACAAGATCGCTGTAGAAATTTGTTATAATTTCTTGTACTTTGCCAAAGCAGTGCTGATAAGAAAAGAATTAAAACAATCTAGGCTTGAAGCTTCTGATACTTTATTTGTGTGGACATGTCATATGTCTTTAATTAACAGCTTCAAAACATCCTTGGATTTATGAGGATGTACTGGAACTTTTAATGTATCATCTCATAACAAATGATACATTGGTGTGCAAGTAAGTCATAAAGTTCATTCGAAAAATAAACGGACAAAAAGGCACTCTCTCATTCACATGATCAACAAAAATTTCTAAAGTATGTTGTCTTATTTTATGACAAATTGATAAACTATAAAGTTTTTGTTTACAAATGTAGTTTATAACATGCAAATTTTGGTCTGTTTATTGTGAATATACAATTTCATATAGTTATTTTTGAAAAGTATTTCGTAACTTACGAGTGTATTCAGAGGAGAAAAATCTGTATTGAATGGATGGACTTCCAGTGCATTCTCACAAATCCAAGGTTGTTCCAAACCTGATTTATTTCGTCTAATTTAAAACAGCGCAATTTTTCCAAATGTTCTATGTTAATGCAACAACAAAATTCAGACCAACATGAATTAGACAATAGAATGTATGAATAATTCAGACTAACGGCAAGGGTACCTGGTAGGTGGAGGTTCGGCTTTGTCAAAATTGAGAGATCTGTGGTCATATTATGGCGTCGCGTTACATGTAATTGGAAAGGGTAATGGAAATCAATGCTATGATTTTTAGAATTTTTTTTTTGTTAGATACTATGATGTGGAGGATGTCTTTAATCTCAAGTGATGGAATATTTAATAGAATCAGCCATATGTAGGTGTGTGGGATGTGGGTATTCTACCAGAGGCTATAGATTTTGTGGCAGAGATGAGGCTTTTCCTAGGTTCTCTTCATCATGAGCTGGTGTACAGTAATAACTTACTTGCTTGTGAGATTGAGTCAGTTACTGATGGTAAGATACTTGTATTGGGTTGGAGGCACAATGTACCTAAGAGTGAATTTCGGTGGAAATCCTGATGAATTAGCCGTGGATTCAATAGTAGACACAAGGTCTCACTTAAAAACCCAGGTAATGAGTACAAAGGAGTGAGTCCAACACAGTAGTTCTTCCTAGTATACGGAAGATCTACCGTGTTGGACTAACTCCTTCGTACTTTTTAAAAGTTAATTGGATTATTCAAAATTGTGATCAGTTAGACATATGTCTATTTAGTTACTGACATCTATCGACCAGTGGTGAATTATGTATTGACCAGTGGCCAGAGGTATACTGATGTTACTTAATCTACTACACATGTCTATGTATTAATTCATTCCCTGATTGCTTAAGTTATCACCTAAGCTCTATCGAGGCAGTTCGCTTGAAGTTCAGTGTAAACTAATCTTTTGGAAACAATTTAATTTACGACAATTCTTGTGTTTATGTCGATGTCAATAACTCATGTATTACTCAAACTTTGTTAGTCTGTGTATCTACTATACTGAATCACTTAACCAACACTTTGGTAACATTTGGGTATAAATATAACTGTATGTCTAGCCAGTATGCATCGGTCCCTGAAGGGAGGTGAGTGTTACCATCTCCACACAGATTACACCACAATAACCATACAACAACCCAAACAGTGTCTGGGCTTCATCTTTACACTGTACTACATAACTTCATTTTATTACAATGATACGTCATCATCTCATTATGACGTCATAACAGAGGAGGTCACTTCTTGCACTGATATGGGAAAGATATCACACACAGGTGTTTCACAAGGGATGTGATACATGTATACCACACAGGCAGAGTTGAGAGAAAGAGGAAATGTGTTATTATTTCATGTACAATTATATTTTGATAGAACTAAAGTTATCAACAGATCTACAATGGATATTCATATAGAACTTATTTATCAAATTTTCTTTCTCTGTCAAAGGATTAACGGCAGACTTAGAGGACAGTCAGAACAAGAATATGGAAATTGACACAGAGTTTCAGACAGGCAAGGTGAAAGAAGGGAATGCAGATGATGACGACGACGATGATGATGATGATGATGATGATGATGATGACGATGACGATGACGATGATGATGATGATGGAGGTAATCAATCCGTTCAATGCAAAATGACACTTTTATAATATTGAATATTTGTTTTCGATGTTTTATGAAGAATATTAAACTGATGGGGAATATTCGTTATTTGTATGTAAACAATATGTGTTGATTCCTTAGAAGGGAACTCATTGAGAGTACTAGTAATAGCTATATAGGGGTTAATTTAAAATACATACCCTATGGAACTCTAGGGGCCACAAAATCTCAGTCAGTCAGTCAGAACATTGGCCTGCATAATCTCAGGTGAAGATCTGAAATGCGTGGTTCAACATTCCCTATCTATGACAGTTCGTGTTTCTCAGGAAGCTGAGAATATGACAGGTCTGTGCTGACGTGGACGTATCCTTGCAAAAGACACTCTATCTTAATTGCTTTAAACATGCAATGGGCCTCCTGTATGTTGTTCAGTGAGGTATCCACCAGCTACTACAAGGACACCCCGCCTTGGCTTGGGGCAATAAACCAATTATTGCTAATATGTGTTATAGCAAAAAAAGAATAATAACTTGTGTTTCAATTTGCTCTAAATCTTGAGACTGAGATCTTTTTCTTATATTCAAAGATGCCTTGCTGGAATTTGAAGATGAAGATGACATCATTGACATGGACGATATACGACTGTTTGATGAAACAGATATGCCTATCACTCAGGATTCTCAAAGCAACCAAGTCTTTCAAAACACTTGTACAGATGTAGGGACTGAAAATAGGGTACAAGACTTGTGCCCCTTTGACAGTGATTCAGTATTAGATAAAGCCAGTGCTACTAATCAGGAAAAAATACCTCAGGTTTCTATTGTAGTTTTAACAAATAATAATTCTTTACCTCAGGAAATCAACCAAGATTCCTCATCCAATTATAATTCATTAGAGTTAGAAACATCTCAAATAAATTCTTCTGAAAAAGAGGAGATTAGTCATCTGACAGATGGAGAAACAATCTCAAAAGGCAAGGATGTAACTCTGCAACAAGCTGGAAAAATATACAAGGCAGGATCAAGTGCAAAAACAGCACAGTTTTCTGAAGGTCAAAGTTCAGGAACACGTAATGGACCAGATGCTTCCATTCCACAAAAAGCTATTGCTGATGTTGCAGATGAAGTGAACTTAGAGAAGACCAAATCTGACATTGAAGATATCAAACTTGTAAAACCCAAGTTGAGAAGATCCCCAAGGAAAAGTCATCAAGATCTGGTAGATAATGCGAATGACTTAACAACAAAAGTTGGTGTGCAAGATAGTGACTTGAAATGCCAACAAGATTTTTCTGAGCCCTCAACATCAGCCAGTTTGAATTCCGAGAGTAATTTACCCGAAGTGATCACTATAGATGATCCCAATCCTGTCCATGAGATAGAAAGTGACAGTTTTGATGTGGAAAGGGGACATAACTCTGGTAAAGCTTTGCATAAATGTTATCTGTGTGACGTGTCATTCAACTCAAAGGATAATCTCACAGTACACACACGTACTGTTCATTCTTACTATCCTCAACTGCCTCCTTGTGGTTGTACCCACTGTGGGGCACAGTTCAAATCTGAAGAGTTTGCTCACAAACATGAACGTGAAGTTCATAGCTTTGATACAGCCTGTGCGTTCTGTGGTAAAAACCTGTTGACCAAAGAAGCTATGCAGACCCATGTTTGTAACCATCTTCAACCTCTCACTTACCTCTGCATGTTGTGTCGAGAAGACTTTCCCAATGTTGTGGAGGCTGAGAATCATTTGAGCAAGCACAAGGGTGAAGTGGCGTTTTGGTCAGATTTCCTCAAGTGCAGATTTTGTGGGTCATTGTTTAGTAAACGTGATAAACTATTTGACCATTTGATGCAAATACATGAAGATCTGTTTCAAGTTAAGTGTAAATCGTGTTGTCAACCATTTTATCAGGAGGCAGCATTGGTGGTTCATCGCAGCGATCAGAACCAGCGACTAGACGGTAAGAGGATACGAATTACAGAGAACATCCACATACCGTTTAGTGTGGCAAGTGGCAAAGTGTCTAAGGATTCAATTGATATAACACAAGATGGCAGTTTTGAAAGTCGCAACGAAGCATGTGCTCTAAAACTGAAAAACCACCGGGAGCTTGTAAAGTGTGTAAACCAGCAGAATCGCCTTGAGATGTTGAACAAACATGGCACACTGGACACAACTAACCAAGACAGGTGAGTGTATTTTAATTATTTATTAATGTGATGGACAGGCAGCCATCTTTGATTCTAAATTTGAAAGTTATTGCTATATTTCTTGAGAAGTACTGGATGAAACTTTTTGGGACTGATCAGAAAAACAAAATGGCCGATTGATGGCCATCTTGGATTTGCCAAGTAATGTTTGGTATCATTGTTGCTTTCAAAGTACTGAATGTATATCTCAAATTTCATATGTAGGTTCCCCTTGGTTCCTGTTTGATTTTAAGACTGATCAGTAAAACAAAATGGACGACAGGAGGCCATCTTTGATTTCAACAATGAAAGAGCGTTATCACTGTTTCTTGAGAAGTACTAGATGGATCTCTCAAATTTCATATTTGGGTTCCCCTACCATCTATAAATGTTCCTGTTTGATTTTGGGACTGATCAGAAAAACAAAGTGGCTGACACTGGTGACCATCTTGGATTTGGATATTAAAGATTGTTACTGCTATTTCTGCAAAGGAATGTTTAATTTACATATCATTAAGAGCAAAAACAGGGGATGGAAGAGAAAAGAAGGGAAATGATCCAACTTTTAAAGAGTAAATAAAGATCATACACTGGTGGGCACCAAGATCTCTTTGGGATCTCTTGTTCCAAAGTGAAAAAGAAAAACCAGGGTTATCTTCAGTTTTCATGGACATTTTAAGAAAATACCTGTTCTTCCAATTTAAACATGTACAGTTTGTTGTAAAATTCAGGTTGGAGAAAAAAAAAGCACAATATTTAAGTTTACTTAATCATCCATTTATTTTTACAGTACTACCACAAGTCCTGATAGTGATGTAGCCTCACAGAAAACAGAGAGTTCCAATAATGTAACAGCCAAACACAGCCTTGTGGCCAAAATACTTAGCAGGAAACGTACACAGACAACAAATGAGGCACCTCAGAATGAAGCTGATCAGGTAAATCATGCTTTTGATTCTTTACTTAAAAAGTTTTATTTTGGATGGTCCATATTTTCAGTTCATTTTTTAAGCCAATATCATGAGAATGACCATTGTCCTTCTTTATTAGCCCACCATAATCAATTCTTGTTCCTTATATTTCTTGAGAAATACTTTTTTCAAATTTCACATTTAAGTTCCTCTTGGTCTCTAGTTTTTCCCTTATGATTTTGTGAGTGATCAGAAAAACAATATGGCTGACAGACGACCATCTTGGATTTTGACAATGAAAGTTTGTTATTGCTATTTCTTGAGATGTACTGGATGTATCTTTTTCAAATTTCATATATAAGTTCCCTTTGGTCCCTAGTTGTGCACTTTTGATCATAGGAATGATCATAAAAACAGAATCGCTGATGGAAGACCATCTTGGATTTGGCAGCTAAAATTTATTATAGCTATATCTTATAAGGATTTTCATGACTGTGCTAACTTTTATGGCAAATGATTTCTGTTAACTTTTGATATTTATAAAGCAAATTGTATGTTCAAACTATCTATTACTAAATTTATACCACTCCACTCTTTCATACCACTTTCGGACCAAACCATGGAAAAAATCATCTTTAGAAAGCCAGCACTTGAGAGCTGAGTAATTTTCTAACAGACTTGTGTCACTTTTGTGAAAAGTCACTTTAAATTTTAATTTATAATTTTATTTTTATTTCGAAAATGAGATTCTCTTCTCAGTGGCAAAAAAAAAAGGATGATTGTGATCAGCATAGAAGTGAGTGGGGCATGCTGATAGGTAGATAAAGTTAGATAAAAACATGGAGAAGGGGAGACTTCACGGTTCAGTGCACATACAAAAAAGCCAGTGCAAGAGAAGCTGGCATTGAACCTAGTTTCTTATTACTCTATGTTATACATCCTTGTTTGTTATTGACTTTTGTGAATGCTTCGCGACAATTGTTTGTCTATCTAACCTGTGATGGCTTAGATTTAACAGTGCATTTATGATTTTATTTTTTTTTTAGGGGACAAAGAATGAACCAACCACGGTGCCGGACAGTCTCGAGAATTGCTTCCAGAGGATTATGTTTCGCTTGGCTTCCAACATACAGGAACTCCTTCGCTTGAGCCTCACCATTGAAGGTTATGTGACTCAGCAGTCTCATCAGTTCCTTGCCAAAGTGTATGATCAGAAATACAAGGTGGTGATGGTGTTATGGACGGAGTTACAAAGCCTCACGCAGGCAGTCAGATCTAATGTATTTGCCAAAGGGAACAAACTCTCCAAAGATCTTGTCGATGAACTTTTGTGCGGCATTTTGAAAAACGTACATGCACTACGTAAATCTAAGTTAGAAACGGTCTTGTTGATGGGGCATAGTATCACTATTGCTTTCCAAGCACTGATAAAGGTGATGGTCAGCAAGGAAACCATTATCACAGCTGGCCTTCAGTTGATAGCTGTCAATCACTATGAACACTGGCTTGACTTTTTCCCTAGTATCATAGAAAACCAATGGGTCATATTCAAGGAAATTGCCACCAATCACACAGACAATAAGAGTGATAAAGTTTCGGAGCTAGTCAGCATGCTCTGGCAATTGAAAGTCTCTCTCAAGGAAGCAGTTGTTCTCAAGAAAGAAGAAATCAAGAAGTGGAAGGAAAGTATACACCCTTCAGCAGCAAATTCGTCTGGAATTAATGGAGAAATGCAAGCAAAAGAAAATTCAAAACAACTGCTGTTCAAAATGAAAAATGATACAGTAGTGTTTGTGGCAGGGAAAAGCACACCAGTGGCCATCAGTTTAGTAGAACCAGGTACTCAGATAACAATTCCTGTGGTTAAGTTACCTGAGGAAAATCAAAGTCACTCTTCAGACACTGTCAATATCCTACCAGGGACACAAAGCTCCAAGCCGGGGGAAAAAGCCGACATGATTCCTCCTGTTGCCCATCTGCCAAGCTTTCTGTCCAATGAACAACATCTGGATGAAGGCTATCGCCTTGCTTACATTTCTGAAGAATATCTCGGACAAGGGATTCGTCCGGTGAGTGTTGGAAAACCTAAGGAGCCCATAAGCATTGATCTCATTAGCGACGACGAAGACGATGACAATGATGAACCTAAAAACACTGCTAATGCTTTGGGATGCTCTGATAATGATTCCAAAATTAAATCTACCGAAAGGTCATCTTCAGAATCATCGGAGATGGATTGTGTTGAGGATGACCCTGTAAATAACGAAATGGAGAAAGATATTTCGAATGAATCGACAGAAGTTAAGATGGTCAAAAATATGAATAATGACGCAGATCACTTAGAGCTTGATTGCGTTGCTATCAAACCTGAACCAATGGATTACAATGGTATCACAGTCGATCTCTGTCTGGTAGATGACGACGAAGATAATGCAGAAGATGGGCAAAAGAAAGAAAATACTGAGAATGACACAAAGAAAGATGCTGTGTCTTTAGTTATAGTAGACTCGGAAAATAATGAAGAAATCAAAATAATGTTAGCTGAGGATACGGATACGGCAGGAGACAAGGCATTCAGTAAATACCCTGAAATAAGACAGAAGACTTCACATTCCAGTAACCACTCAGGAACACCTGGTCAGTAGACTTATATAAACCTTGAAGTTAGAGTCATGAACTCACACACCACCTGTTTTAAGATTTATTTAATCCCAAGAGACTTCAGAATTTAATCTTTGTGTCTTTGTATAAGTTTTCCAAAATCTGTAAAAATGCAAGGCTTTCAAATAAAAATGAAAAGACAGAGAGGCTATCCCAAAACCAAAACAGTTGTATCTGTGCATAAACTTAAAGAGAGGTATTGTTTCCCAGATATATGATCTGTAAAAAAGGACATATCACTTCAAATACTGTAAAAAGGGTGTTTTACTCAAAAGTTATTGAAACTTATCCAAAACTAAAGGAATAGTTTTATACTCATCTTAAAGAAATATAATATAGAACAACTACCAAGTTTATATCAAAGGTCAAGTCTCATCCAGGGCTGTAAAGGATACAGCTCCCAAAAAGCTTTTTAGAAGTCATGTTGTAAATAAATTGTAAAATGTGTATCAATAAATAGTTTGTCTATATATCTCTGTTTTTGTAAGAAAACAGTTCATGTATAAAACATATATTCAGAAATTTCATTTTAAAGACACTTATACCAGATGTTCAGAAACTTTTGAAATTTTGAAAAACCCTCACTTTCTTTCCATTTTTTTTTTACAGATCCTGTACATTCTATTAAACGTGAGAATAGCTTGTCAGACGAGGAATCCTCAACAGGAACACAGCCAAACTTAGGGGAAGACAACTCTCTGGTCCCACCAAGCAAAAAACTAAAACTAGTACAAGTATTTAATGGTGCTGCATACGAAAACACAAACCCTGTTTTTGACTCTACAAATAATACTTTAGAAGGGGAGACAACTCAACAAGTATCTTCAGTGTATGGTGTGAAAACAGAGCCAAATCAGGAGGGCTACTCAGATATTTCAGGGGAGACAACTGTAAATGTGAAAAAGGAGTCTGTGTCTGATTTAGATGAAAGTACTTCAACATCAGCCATAACACCTGTTGTTATTCCCCCGACGAAAATCAAAATTGAGCCAAATGAACCAGCGGGTGTAAATACATGTACAACAGACAGTTCCAATGAAGATTGTAAATCAGCAATACTAGAAAAATTGAGAGAGAGACTACAGGTTAGCTCAGAGCATTGGGAGATTTCACAACACGACTCTAATGTGATCAAATCAGAACAATGTGAAACTCCACAGACGGACGCAGAGGTTCTGAAAGCATATTATTCCTAATATAGGGTAAACTAGCATACAATCATTATCATAAACATTTACAGCATATGTCTTTTGCTGTTTGTCTGTTTGTCTCTCTCTCTCTCTGATTCTGTCTCTCTCTCTCTCTCTCTCTCTCTGATCCTGTCTCTCTTTCAGTTTGTGTTTCTCTCTCTTCTCTTTCTCTCTCTCTCTCTGATTCTCTCTCTCTCAGTGTGTGTCTCTCTCTCTCTTCTCTGATTCTCTCTCTCTTGCTCTTTCTGTTTCTGTCTATCTCTTGCTCTTTCTGCAGTGTCTCTGTCCCTCTCACTCTGTTTGGCTATCTGTCACTCTTTCTGTCTCTGTCTCTTTATATATATTCATATCTACATGTATCAGTTCAGTAACATCATCTCTAGGATTAGAAGCCTAACATTTCACAAATTTTCAATGAGGATTTGTCAGTGTGAATTCAAATTGGTTCTATAAGTATTATCTGTATAAATGTTTCCAATTTACACCCATACCATCATGAATATTAAAAAGAGTTCCCTTCTTTATGTACCAAAGAATATATTCCCAAATATTTCCAGCATAGAAATATCTTTACCATCTATACTATGACTGATGTTCATTGTTCTATAAATGCAATGTCTTATCATAATTATCACAGAGGCACAGTTAAAATATAATTATATAATGATAAACTGGTATATGTAGATGTTCAAAGTCCCAATATCACAGACGTGCCTTATGACTTGAATCCCGAAATCCAGGACAGTGTTTGGTCATGGTCATGATCACTGCTTTAAGCTCACCCAATTCACCATGTGAGCTTATGGCGTGGCGTGGCATCCTTCTGTCCCTCCGTTAACGTTATCTTTAAAACACTACTTTAAAACCAAAGACCTGACCCTTCAGGGGGCAGAAAGGATAAGCATTATTGAAATAGAGGTTAATCTTTAAGAATCTCATTTTTGTGTGGATGAAGAAATTTTTATCAAATTAGGTCTAAAGCATCCTTGGGTGAAGGAAAAAATTTATGAAAGGAAAGAATGCTCTGGACCTATAGAGGAATTGATCCAGTTCGTTCCAGTTCCCTCTTGTTGGACAGAACCAGAAAAGTTCAAAAGAACTGGATATACAAGTAATTGTGACAAGTCTGCTGAAATAATGTAGGCAATACAGGTTCTTTAGGCCTCTTGTTTCAAAACTGGAAAACATGATATTCTTTTAAACGATACAACATATTTTTTGTTTTCTGACTCTTCAATTTTTGTTTTAACTGTTTCTGGATATTTGACACTTGCATTATTGTTAGAAATCCAATTTTTCCATTATGTTTTATTCGGATTCTGAAATAAAGTATTGTTTCTATTTCTTCTGATATGCTTAATCATAAATATCTATAACTTCACTCGTACTCTTTATATAATTCTAACTAATAAGTTTACATGGAGAATAATACTATTCAGAATGGTTTCCTAATTGGATTATTTACATAATCAGATCTACAGAATCGAATTTATCGGAAAATATTAGTTTTCTTATACAAAATATGTTTGTACATTGCCTTACATATTACCTAAACAATATATGTTTTAAAATCCGAAGTTGATCAATGCTTTCTGTCTTGCATTATGAGTAATATTTGCCTAGCAATACAGGTACGTAATAGGTATGGATAGACACATTCTGAACTCTTCCCAACTTTATTGACCTAGTGTAAACAAATTCTTATTTTTTTCAGTCTATGAAATAAGTATGTTGGGTAAATTTGGTAATGCTTTAATTGCTATGTATTGACACATCATATACAAAGTGTTGTTCTTTACACTCACTAATACGGTAAACAAGGACAACTCAGGGTAGAGATTTGGTATTAAGTTTTTGTATAGTCTTTAAAATGAAGAATTACCTCCCCTTTTATTTACATGGAGTTTTTTTTACTCTTTTTTTTTCATTCTTTGTACAGAAAAAATTAAATAAATCTTTGAATAAACTAGTTAGATGAATGCAAATAAAATAAACAGTGAGAACGAATATCTTGTCATTTTATTTATGTATATACGCGCAAAATGTGGTTTAGGCGGAATTGGCAAGTTTTACTTCGCTGTGGGGAGAGCATTTTCTACTTGGCAGTAGTCACATTTAACTATCAGATATCATTCATCAGATGTTTAATATTGTCAACACTCATTTTATATCTGAAAAGTAATTGAAGTAGCCATTTATAAAGCATAAAACATTATGAGGAGTCCGAGAATTCTCTCGCTATTATATGGGGTGTATATCGGAACCCCTCTCCCAGAAATGAGAGAAAACATTATTGCGAAGAGGACTTACAGAATCACTTTCCCGTGCCAGATCTTAATTAATTTCAAAAGTGCCATGGCTCACAATAATACATACATGGACTTCGTGAATTTGTGAGTTTTACACACTGACGTGGTCTATAGTACACTATGTTCTAATTTTCATATAACTAAATACACATTAGCAAACTTTATTAATACCATAAGTGATAAGTAAAGTTGAGACCTAATACCATACACTCATTAACTACTTGTACTATTTGCCCCATCTTGACAGTTTCTTCTCAATATTTTCTACACCTTACAAAGATTACACTTCCTCTTATACAAGACTTCCCGTAAAATGTCCCATTGGCTATGTAATAGATTTATTTCAATAATCTCCACTTCTCATTAGCATTATCGACCAAACATAAAATTTGACTTTCGATATTAATACTTCAAGCCCGTTATGATATGATCCTTATAATGCCTCGCATCCGCTGTAACCTCTCATAGAATTTCTCACCCACTTTACATGTAAAACGTTGCTCTTAAAGTTTTACTTTATTCAGAACAGACTACCAGAAAAGTTTACTTTATTCAAAACAGACTATCAATAAAGTTTGAATTTATTATTAAAAAACCAAATACATGAACTGATTCACTCCTGATAATCAACATTAAATCATAATGTTTGATATTTTTTAACAAGCATTGGCAAAATAACTAAATTTTCAGAAAACCCTTAGTTTTAGCATGTATTTATTAAGTGGGAGAACATTTTCGACAAGACAAGTGTATCAAATACCATAACAAATGTTGCTTGTTGATTTTAGGATTTGACATCGTAGATATTAAAAAGTTTTCCCTCAATTTTCAAATTGATACTGCTTTAGCAGCAAGCACTAGGTTTTTTCATCCACCATTCTTATTGTATAAGAATAATCTCCTTTGAAAATGTGTAGTTGTAACTCACTTGATATGCATAATTGACCCTTAATCCAGGTTCTACTTTATTCTTACGTAATATCATTCTCTATTACAACAATTTTTTAAGAGTTTATCCATCTTAAGCTTAAAACACATCACTCACGGAAATTAGCAGTAAAGTATTCTCAATATTTATATACAGTGTATTTTAAAAATATGTGTAAGCTCTTGCATTTTGAACCATGAGGAATTGTGTCACTACTGCGGTATGTTGTGCAATGATTCTATTACATATATTATTTGTCACTGCTCTGGAAATATTGATATTTGAGATGAATTAAGGTGTCACTTATTTAATAAGTTGGGCATAAATTTCATGACGTGGTTGAATAATTTGTAAGACTTTGACTTAGCAAATACTTTCTTGGCGGGTACTTTTAGCTGTGAAATGTTGAAAGAAGATTTGGAATATTTCAGACTTGTAAATTTAAGATTTCTGTATCAAATATTTAAAACTTCTCAATTACACTATTATGATTTGCTTTGTACATTTATACAACTCTTCTTTAATGTTGATTGTGTTTTAATTGTATTTATTCTTTTTATGTAATCTTGGTGGACATAAAAGGAATAATAATAACTTAATAATAATAATATCAAAATGAAATCATTCTTTTGATTTGATGTCAACAGGGGAATATCTAAGAATTTTACATGTTTGGAAAAATTATAAGAAAACATGAAGCTATCTAAAAATTTAGAAGTTGTGTATAATGTTGCATTTTTTATTGCTGCTAAAAATACATAGCTTCAAGCTGATATCCTATTGTAGTTTCTGACAACATCAATATTGACTGAGGGGAGATAACTCATAACTAGCCATTACAATGTTCTTTTCACAACTTTGAAGTGACATTGTGTATTAAAAAATAATTAATGAAACAAAGACATAAACAAATTTTAAAGTTTTGTGCAAATTTTAAACGCCTAATATTTCAAATTTTGGCAACAATTTAAGTGCATCAATAGAAAATATAGGAAAATGTTTATACAATAACTGTTAACTTAAGAAGCACAATGGGTAGTAGTTTCATGTATGAGTTTGCTGAAGGTCAGAGGGGAAAATGCACAGGTTTAATTTGATTTCTTCTAGATTTGTATATCCTATTTAAAAAAAATCCTTTTTTAATTTGACTGGAAAATCTTTAAAGTAAAAGATATTTGTAAGATAAATGTATCTGAATTAGTTATGTAATATTTTGATGGTGACTTGTCAAATCTGTCTGTTATAAAATAAGACACCAGGGTCATTAATCATCTACCTCAGTTAATAGTTCAATTACAGCGTCATGTTGATTTTATTACAAAGAGGACAATTTTGAAAATGATTTCCATTCTCCCATTGTCATACTGTGGGTTGGAGACCCTGAACACCATGATTGGCAATAATGTCATGATATTCAATGATGGGACCAATTTTCTTGTTTGTAAATGTAAAAAGTCAATGACATAGCTGGAATTTATAGATAATACAGAGATGCTATAACATGAACAGAAATACAGAGAAAGGCAGAAGAAGATAAAGATAATATTCCTGTATAAATTGTAGTAAATTCCTTCCCAAGGGGAAATGTGAAACCCTAAGGGCAAAAAATTCACATTTTAGTAAATCATCTTTTATCTTTCCATCCCTGAAATTTGAATCAAGTTGATAAATTTTAGTCCCCTACTTAGAGCTCTGTGGATGGGGAGCATATAATTCCTAATTTTATGTAAAATTTTATTAAAATATGGTTCAGGACTAACCAAAAAATCCCCAGCATATCCAAAGTCCAGTTAACATTACAAAGAAACAAAATTCTGTGAAGTGTACAATTGTCTTGTAGGTATGGAAATATGATGTGTTTTAGTGTTACTTTAATTACAAGTTTTTCTTGGACTATGAATCAGTACTATGACAGTGTAGTGCTAAAACTTAACATGAAGTGGACTAATAAGTGGTCTGTTCACACAGGTGGTCTCTCAATAGAGGTGATCTATTTACACAGGTGGTCCTCGGTCTAGGTAAAAAGGTAAAAATAAAAAAATAAAAAAAATAAAAAAATCCAAGCAAACAAACATCAAGATCATCTTCAGACTTCAACTTCACAAATTCAGTTTATCCTTTGATAAGATCATCAAATTCTTTATTTTATACTCGATAAAGTTTTGGTGATCAAAATCAAATAATGAAAGGCTACTTTTTAGCTTTTAGAACAATCCTAATGTCCTGTCCTGATGATGGGATTCACACTTCTGATCACTTTTTGACATTTTCCATGACATCTACTGATCAGATTCCAGCATTCCATACTTATAGCAGACAATACTTGAACGAAGGTCTACATGTTGAGATCGCAGTTGGGAAAGTTGACATCATTGCATGTCTTCAAATAGAGTAATCTAAACCAAATTGGTGAAAGGCACATTCATTTTCAGCAGAACAATACAATCTAGGTTTGTTTTTCAGTTTGAAGTTTGCTTTTGTGCTATGAAGTAAATGTTTGATTCATTATCATGTTCTGTGCTGACAGGCGTGTCTCAAACAGGGGCTTTTAGCTGTTGATATTGTTCGTATTGCCTCTAAAGCTTAGAAAAATTTACAGCGAGTTGAACTTTAAAAATGTTGAATTTCACTGAAGTTGCAAATGGTATTGTCTACTTTTGTTTTTAAATTAATTTATTACTACTGTCTGGTTTTATTACCAGCATTTCTTGAAATAAGTTTTGATTCATTTTTACAAATATGCTTAAAAATGATTTATTGATTGACAGGGTTTAATGTCTGTGTTAATACTATTTAAGAACTAACCTTCTGCTTCTAATTTGTTTCTTTGAACAACAAAATACTTCACTATCAAACAAATATTCATATTGTATTTTACTAGTATGCATTTAGTTATATTTGGTTAGTTTCCCCAGTATTTCTGTAAGGGGAGATAAATCTATTTCTTTTTCAATTAAAATTCAAATATATTTGTTTAACTTTAACCTTATTAATTTAAATCTGAATAGAATAATT